GGGTCTCTGTATATACTCTTCTTCTTGTGGAAAGCATAGCCCTATTGTCTGGAATAATATGGAAAGAGTCATAGAAACTAAATTACCAAAGGTAAGTCAAAATTTATCTTTAGTGCTTGTAAATGATGTCAGTTTGACAGCACCTGAAGACTAGAGCTCTCTGTTTATCCACAGGAAAAAACAGCAAAATTAGCAACTTTATAAATTTACAGGCAGCCAACATGCCTTAAAAACTGGCTGGTGAGAAAGTTTACTTCTAGAAATAAGGTGTAACCTGGATGTCCCTGTCCAGGCACTGAGTGCTTCCTAACTCAGCAAACACTTTGGTGGAGGCATTTGCGGTGAAATGGATGGAGGCAGGTATCACATGGACAACATGCCACTGTTGAGTCTTTGTACAGTGATGGTTTTCAGTTAATGCCACTCTAGAACAAAGAATCTAAATGGACACAGACAGAAAATTGATTCCAGTCTTCCATATGACTTCTTCTCCTATATGGATACAACTAAAAATCCTCTGTGTGTGCATGCATGCAATCTATATTCAGTTAAAATGTGGTTTTTTCATGCACAGTCATTTGAATATATCCATGAGTGTACTTATGTTGTGAAGAATAAAAAACCTGTGAAGGCAGAAGTCACCTGTTTCAGAGAAAAGTGCCTTTGCTTACTGTTCTTTCTCACACTGCCTCCAGAAAGATGCAGACTTTCTTCCAAAATATCAAAGAAAATTCAAAAGTTTCTAAAATATTTTATAACTGAGCTGTTGAGAAGAATTTTAAAATTTTACACTGGACATATTTAGAAGGCAGATTTTCTCCTAAATAATTTTCAGCAGAAGTGATATTTGAGCTGAAGGGCAGTGAATATCCATGGTTTTAAACAACTTTGCTGTCTATTGACTGTATTTATACTGTTACTGATATTCCTTACACTTCTTGTAGTTTCAACATAGGAAAATTCCCCATCTGTGTAAGTATATGTGTACTTTGTTCATTTTCCTGAGCTAAGTTCAGTTCAAAGGTGCAGCTCAATAGTTCTTGCTCAGGTCAGTTTTTAGAATAACTTCAAAATCATCATTTGCTCCTTTGATGAACCCAGTGGAGTGGTCACAAGGTCAACAGCTGGCCCAGAAACTTCTGTAGCCTTTTTAAGATTCCACTACATATGTACACACAGATATATGCATTTTTTAATCCTGTTTGACTGGACAGTTCAGTCTCAACCAGTTACATTTCTGCTTCTTCTGGGTTTGCTTTTTCATGGACATAAAATTGTGATTTCCACCATCATAAGTACCCACTTCATCCCTCTCACCTAAAGTATTGGGATCTGTTATCAGCATTAACAAAACCAAATCTGTCTTTAACTGTTTCCACTAATTATAATCTAGCAGTGGTAAATGACAGGATTTCATTAACCTAGCCTAGTTTTATTTTTAATTTAATTTGTATTTATGGAGTTCTCATTTTAAAAGTGAGTATTAGGGTTTAGTAACACTGAATTTTTCAGTTTGCTTTTAAGTAACATCCATTTTTCATCTGGGTTATGGCAGCAGCCTGGTGGGGACTTGAACAGCTGTGTAGTGTTTCCTTTTACTAAACCACTCTATTCCTTCTGCTCCTTGACAAGCAGTTCATCAAAGTGGATTTTTATTGTGTCCTGAGTTTGGACCAGGCCAACAAAGATCAAGTTCTTCTACCTGTGGTGGAAGAAACACCTTCTAACTTCAGGGAACCAGAAAGAAGATGTGTGATAATCAAAGAGGGACTGGGTTTTGACCATCATTTGTCTGTAAGAGCACTTGAGCACCACGTGAAGGTGCAGCCTCACATTCTGATGTGAGGTCACCAGATGAAGCAAAATAGGAGCTTTGAATTATCAAATAGGTTTGGATAGTGGGAAGCAAAGACAGAAATTTAACCACCTCCTCTCCTCACCTTCCCAGGTTCAGCTTCACCCCCTCACTCCTGACTCACCCCCCAGCCCACTTGGTGCAGGGAGGATGGGAAATGGCAGTTCCCCATTCCTCGCTTGCTGGGCAGGTTTTCCCTTTCTTACACACACTTTCCCTGCTTTCTCACACCACTGTCCTGACTGCTGGGCTGAGCTGTGCCTGCAGTGATCCCATTGGAACTGTCTGTGTCTGGCATGGGGCAGCTCCAGCCCCTCCTCACTGAGACTACCCCTGCAGTGCCAGTGCCAGCACATTGACACCTAAATTCCAACATTCCATCATGCTATTGGATTGCTTTTATAGCATGTGTTGCTGCTAAATGTGCTATTTACACCAGGAGAAAATGTAGTTGTTTGCCAGGATACAAGATATTCTTGAGGTTACCCTTCACTGAAATGCCCAGCAGACTTAAGTGCATTGACAAAAAACCCCAAAGCCAAAAACCAAACCTTTAAGTGCTGTTCTCACAGCACACAGTCATTTTTGCACCATGTTCAACTCTGCAATTTCTTATTGAAACCACAAAAAGTTCGTGACCTGAGAGGGCTGGTACATAATTGTTGAAAATAATTAAATCAACTTAGATATCATTTGATATCTAAGGTTCATGGTTTCATTAGCTACTTTCTCCAGACAACTGCACCTTAATGCCTCTTTTAAATAGCTTGTTACCCTATGTGATATTTTGTCTTCTGCTGACTTCCCCTCTTTGTCTTCAGAGAAATCCCTCTTTTCCACACTTGTCAGATTTTATAACAACAATTATAAAGCATGATGGGAAGGCAGAATTTTCAGAGGATATACAATTTTCCATTTGTATTTATGAAAAATATTTAAGTGTGCTTTAGTGCCACAAAAAATTTGTTTTTCAACATGTAAGAAAGATTACACCTGCTCCAAAATTGCACATGGGTTCCTTTGCACCCAAGCCTCAGGAAGTTCCTACTGAGGCAAACAAGACCTGGGTAAGCTCTGTGGTCTGTGATCATCTCCTGAGTTAAAGGTTTCCAGTCTATGGTAGGTACACCACAAACATCACACAAGCAGTCTGAGGGATAGAAAAATGCTCTTTGAAGAGGCAGGTGTTGCTGCTTATGCACAGACATGGCCTGATGCAGAGCTGGAAATGCTGATGCTTTTCCTGTCACCAATGATGGCATCCAGAGGGGAAAAAAAAGAGGAAACTTTATAGATAAAAGTTTTTAGGCACATAAAAAAGGCAGAAAAAATCACAGCAAGTTATGCATACTGGATGTGTGTGTATAAGATTTCCATTTTCCTTGTCTTCCCTTCCACCAGGCATCTACAAGAGAGAGAGCCATGTAAGGAGATAATTCTGTACCTCATAAATGTGATTTTGAAGATTGGCCTTTGAGGTTTCTCAGGCTGAAATTATGCCATACCCCTCCAAAGTGTGTCCAGCCCACAAGAAGAATGACTCATCTTCCCCTCTGTGGATTCTTTCTCTGTCCAAACTAAATATCCTTCCTCCTTCTCCTGTGATATGAGGGATGAGCTGGACTTGCAGCATCTTGGTGGTTTAATCTTTTTTAGCTCAGGAAGGAACTGGCCCTTGCTGTCAGGTCAGCCTGGACTGCAGGGACTTGTTAAGATGCCAGCTTAGCCTAGCCTAGCCTAGGCCTAGCCTGGTGGTGATGAGGTAACATCCCTTTGTCACAGACAGATCCCTAACATTTGTTTGGCAGAGGAATTCCCTGCTAAACTGGGATTAAAAAGGTTTTAGAGAAAGCCATGTGAAGAAGTTTCACAATGGCAGTGTTATTTCTTAAGAGTATGGTTGAAAAGCTGCTGTCTTTCTGACAATATTTTAATCCTTTAATCCAAAAAGGACTAGTTAAAAGAACATGGTCAGATAAAGTTCCTGGATTAGGTGAGATAACCAAAGGATGGTCTTTCCAGAGGAAGCCATGTCCAAATAGTCCCCCAGGTGTTGTCAGTGCTGTGACTTGGCTGACTCCCATGCTGAGGATGAGCAGAACAGGTTGATCAAGCAAGAGTCTCTTTGCAAAGTCAAAATTGAGTTGTATACATGCCCTGCAAACACCCTGGACCCTCTGGGCTGCATTTTAGGCACTCCTAACCAGCAGGTGCTGCAGGCCTGGAATGAAACCCCTGAAATCCACTGTAATAAGCAACAATAATTTATGAAGGAGGTAGTAGTGGTGAAAGTTTGCTACACTGATGTTCTTTTTCTTCTGTTATTTGGTGGAACCAGGGTAGTCCAAAGACTGCAGTGTTTGAAGTGTCAGTGATAACCTGAGCATTCCAAGCTTAATTTTTGCAATGGAGACAAAACTCTTTACAATGGGAAACATTTATAAGGAGAGTTAAAATGTTCATTGCTTTATTTGGCTTAATGTGTTACATAGAAATTGAATGAGATTATTCTAATCAGTTTTATCTGCTCAAAAGATCAGTTGGTGCTAAATACATTTTGCTTTCATATGAAAACATTAATTACACTCAATGAAAGCACTCTGTGAAATTAGCATTATCTTTTCATCTGCAGTAAGAAACTGCCCTCTTCAAATAAATGAATACCACATTTGCTGGCATTTTGCATTTTTGCTGGCAGTTTCAGTAGACCAGCCAAGGTATGGGCAGAGCATCAGACTCTGCTCTTGCCAATTAGCTGCAGCTTTTTCAAATTATCAGTGTGGACTAGAACTTTACAGCATCTTTGTATTTGCTCTCTAAATAATTCTTGTTTCAAAGATTGTCCAAATTAATGGGTTACTTTTATATGGCAAGTTTTACTGAAGAGTCCCAGTGCTCTTACAAGTCTTGTTTCACATTCTGCCAGCTTGGGTAGACTATTCCTCAGTTTATTAAAGTAAAAATTAAGCAAAAGGGAAAACGCTGATTTATCTCACTACATATATATAAAAATATAAATTGTGTTTAAAGCTTTAAACCATGAACAAAATGTATTAAAACTGTTTTTGTTTAATGCAGTGATATTCTTCATTTCCATGTTTGACACACATCACTTTGACTCAATTTTCTTTTTATTTCCATTCAGGACGTGTAGGAACACCTCACTTTATGGCTCCAGAAGTGGTAAAAAGAGAACCATATGGGAAGCCTGTAGATGTTTGGGGTTGTGGTGTGATCCTGTTTATCCTGCTAAGTGGTTGTTTGCCTTTTTATGGAACCAAGGAAAGATTATTTGAAGGCATTATTAAAGGCAAATACAAGGTAAATGGCAGCATACATGAATCCTTTTCCAATGAGATGAGCTCTGTTGGTAACATTTCTGAAAGTTGATGTTTGCCTGATTTAAATGTAAAGTTTATGGAAATCTGTCACACAGGAAGAGAGATTATTTTCCCTCCTTGGTCTGTCTTGTACCTGATGTGTTTTGTGTCATTGCTAGGAATTAGAATATGGAAATATTTGCTCAGATAAAATAATAAATGGGTGTTACAATCAGCCCCTAACTGTACATTGAGCCCTGTAGGAAGACAAGAGGTTTAGCTGTGAATTAGAACATGCTGTAACCTCAGATTTATAAACACTTTAAAATTTTTGATCAGCTAACAGATCAAAAATTTGATCTGTTATCTGTTTATAACAACAGCTGTCATAAACATTCATCATCATCATATTGCCTTGATTTAAAACAAAATGCATGTTATTTTACAAATGCAGGCAAGCACTTTTCTTCTTAGTGCAGGGTACAGTAAAGTGCAGCTGATGATTCAACAGGAGCCACTTGCAGCCACAGCAGGTCAGGGTGCACACAAGAGAAGCTGTCACAGCCTCAGCCCACAGACCATTGTAGAGACAAATTTAAAGCTGAAACTTCACTGTGGGTTTGTCTAAGATGAGCTTTTGGACCAAGGTCATACATGAGCTGTGCATGAGCAAATTACAAATGAAAACTCCCAAAGATGTCTGACAGTCTGATTTATTATATCACCCTATCAGCCTGCTACAATGTAAGTGACAGCAGTGTTACTGTACTTGGTCAGGAGCACATATTTCATTTTTTCCATTTTATAATCCTGGAAACAGCAGCATTTCTTCATAGCACTAGTTTTGGGATTGCACAGACTGACAGATATTTCACTTTATGGAAGATTTCTTTGTGGAATCCCTTAAGCAGCTAAAACCTTCTGGAAGGATACAAGTTAACTTCTCTTTTTTTTTAAAAAAAAAAAGCTACAACCAGTACATTGTGTCCTCTTAGTTCCTTTTCTGTTCTTGTTTCCACAGTAATTTGTCTATTCAGTGAAAATCCTGTCAAATTTGCAATTACCTTCATTTCATTAGAGCTGAAAAAGAAATTTAATCACAGCTATAAATGTGCATTTCATAGCCAGATAACATTGCTGAGTGCCCCCATTCAAAGTGACCATTTTTTGTAAATACTTATTTTAAATAAAATGGACCTCATATAATGATCAGATTGTAACATTGAAAAGAGTCTGGTCATAATTTTGAATTTGCATTCAGTACTTTGTAAAGTTAGCTGTCTATCATTTAAATAAAACTTAGCTTCTTCATAATTTAAAGAAATACTAGAAATACCTTAAGGATATTATCCTTTATATCACATAAAGAATTTTCTTACTTTGGTATGGTTTTATCAGGTGTCCATCATTTTGACTGGTTGAGCACAAACCTGCATATGTGCACAAAATGAAAATATATTCTAAATCATCTTTCACATTGTTTCTCCTAAAGTTCTACTCTGAAAGTGTTGCAATTGCTGGTATTGTCTTGTCCTTTTAAGCTTTCCTGTGGAAAGGAAGGAAAAGGACTTTTTCATTTTTCTAGTGGAAAAACTTTACCTGTTGTGAAGTTGAAAGGAATTTATTGGGAAGAGGCATTGTCCCATAGCACCTTCAGGACAGGATCAGCATGGTTCACAACAGGCATTCCCTTATTCCCTTCCTTCCCAGAATCACTGGCATGAAATTGTGGGTTGAAACAGATAAATTCTCTTGCCATATATTGATTTCAGGAGTAGATTTAATTTCTGCATTTATCATATGCGTCATTAACAGTTAAACAGAGCCTAATTATGTTTTGCTGTATCTAGTGAGTGGTGACTTTTATCTGAGCAGAATGTAGAGTAGGTAGAAATTACACTGTGATTATAACATAATAAGGACGTGTCAGGGTTTATGTTTTCAATTTTTGTGCCATTTCCGTAGTAACTAGTGTTCCATTTTTACAAGTTATTAAAACCCTTAGAAATTTCCTTTTACGTTCATTGCACAGAAATGTTTACTAGCACCAACCACTATTAAATCTCTGCAATTATTGTAGATAAACACTAGGTTCTTTTGTACATTCTTATTACTAATTTAATTTTTTTTTCTTGCTCCTAATCAGATGAATCCTAGGCAATGGAGCCATATTTCTGAAAGTGCCAAAGATCTGGTGCGCCGCATGCTTATGCTGGATCCAGCAGAGAGGATAACAGTGTATGAAGCACTGAATCACCCCTGGTTAAAGGTAATAAAAGCAGCTGTTTACATGCTACTTTCTCATTTAAGGGAGAAAACCATGGATTTCTTTGTTTTCCTGAGCTTTTCAAAGTAGACATGAACTGTACAAAATGTGGGATATTATGCTTTAAATGTTTTCTAGGAGTAGAGCCTGAGATTTTGATAATTGCCAGGCTTAAACTCTTGCTTAAGAGCAAACTCAGCTGGACATCTTCAGCAGCACCAGACTGCAGGGAGTAGGGCTGCATAACATAAAGCTTAAAGAAGGTGTTAAAGTGTCTCTCTGTGGCTATCAAACTCCGGAGATAATTTCTGATCTCCTTTTTGCTCAGTTATATCTAAACCTCTTTCCTGTTAGTCATGTAGCCATGCACTCTACTGCTGTAGGTTATGCTGCTGAACTGTGCTGCTTCCTTACATTAGATTCTTGAAAATATCCCACCAAAAGGGAAGGAAGTAGTGGAGTGTTGCCCCAAGGCCACTGTGACTGCATGCAATTATATGACATCTGGTAATCAAATTGTTTTTCAGTGATGGCAGAATTTACAACACACTTTAAGCCAGTGGAAGAGTAGTTGCTGCACACTGAAGGTTTACAACTGGAGAAGGAGAAAATACACCTGTAGCTTCTCAGCAGTCCATCACTAGTCTGTGCTAACATTGGGGTTGGAGAATGATGGGTTGTGCTGCAGAATTAAAAGGTGAAAAGTGCTGGTTCAGAGCACTGTATTTTCTTTGGCAGAAGCTGATGAATTAACAATTTCCTTAGTTATGGTTTGGTTTTCTATAGTGGGTGTCCAGGGTAGAGAAGTCATAATATCATCAACTTAAACAGGGCACTTATTTTGAAAGGGGACTGATCTGGTGTCTGCTGCTGACCTCTGTGCTCTACATGACACAAAGAGAAAGCCACAAAGACAGAACCTGGGAAGAACAGGATCCTATGCTCTTCTCCCTCCAAGTAAATGGTGTAACCACCAGTGAATGGAGTCACTCTTCCATTTCTCTGCTCTCTTTCTGCCTCTGACTTGAATTCCAAGCTGCAGAGTGATCTAGCTTATCAGAGCAGGTTGGGAGTGTTCATCTCTCAGAAATGACAGTGGTAAGGGCAGCTCTTCTGTGTGTTGGGAAACTGCAGGTTCAAACCATTCTACCTAAAAAGAGGCAAAGTTGTGTCTTTGGTCTGGGATGTACATAGTGTGTCAAATATCAAAGGGTATGGAAATGAACACTATGTTTTGGAATCCCGGAATATCATACAAACGCAGATAATCTCGTTTTACCTGCTTGCAATTGGAGTTTTTACCTGCTTGTAACTGGACTTTTTCTTCACTTTGAGAGGACACCCACATTGAGATGCTAAAGCTAGAGCTTGGTTGAGGGTCATTTTGGCAGAAAACCTGTAATTTTTGTTATTTGAGCAACTAAGCTAATTAGGTTTGTTTAAAAGACAATTCTGTAATGTGCATGTGCAAGCTCTGCCTTTGCAGCTTTGCACTTTTGGTGTCTGTGGTCTCTTTTTGATCATGTTATTTGTTGGAAGTCACATGGTTTAGTTTATGACAACTTTGTTTGCCAGGCATTCCACCAGTCAGTCCTCTCATTTTTGCCTACAATAAACTGCCTTTTCTGCCTTCTCAGAGCTTTCCAAACCATTTATAGATAGGAGCAAATACAGCATGAGACAGAGACATCTTTAGTGCCATGGAGGGACTGCTGTGGTTTCACTCTGATTCAGGAGAAGAATGTGATAAACACATTAAATCAATGATTTTACATAGCTTCAGGGGGAAAAGGTAGATGGCTGCTGCAAGTTTTGTCCCTTCTGTCACTGCAGTTGTTCATTGGCACATTTTTCATTTGCACCTACAATGGAGAATTCTCCCTGTACCATCCCCTGGCTGGCATTGGGTTGGCATTTCCTGCCCTGTTGGACACTTACCCCACCTCCCAACCTCACCTGAAGTACCCAGCACCCTGTCAAAGTGTGCTTGAGCATGTTCCTTCACTGAGGTTTGTGAATTCCAAACAGCAGAACTGCTTTTCTGCTTCGAAGTTCAGTGCTGGTCACAGACTGACAGCACAACAGTAAAACAAACAGTGGGGTCTTACTACAAGGTGGGAAACAATTACAAAAAGAAAATATCCTTGGCCCAAGTTAAGAATTCTTTCAAAGCACTTTAATCCCTCTCAGTTTCTGGAAGTTTTCCTTAAGTTGCGACAAATCCTCATTCTCCTTAGGATATTTATGAGCTGGTACTTTTCTTGTCTGGTTTCTTAGTGTCAAAAGGATATTAAAAGCTTGTATTTAATGTTCTTTTGGTTTGTTTTTTGTGGGGTTTTTCAAGGAGAGAGATCGCTATGCATACAAGATTCATCTTCCAGAAACAGTAGAACAGTTGAGAAAATTCAATGCAAGACGAAAACTAAAGGTAAACTCAATGTAGTGTTAAAACAGTATAATTACACAGCTTGAATTTTGTGTGATACTTGATTCATTTAAAAAGTGTTGAGAGAAATCCATGCTTTGAAGTCAGCAATAAAATAAAAAGTTGCAGCAAGCCTTCACAGGTGTTTATTGAAATGATGTCTTAGAAAGGCTGTTTGTCCTGTCTTTCTTTCCTAGTGCATCATTTTCAAATTTCAGTGCAAATTGTCTGGTATCAGCCAAGGTGTATATGAGGCCTTCATCTTCAATAGTTCAGTAATTCTGTGTAATATGAATTACTGGAGAGAATTGTGCAATCACTTCTGTTACATTTAGAATAAAAGGAACATAGTAATTTTTAATGTCTTTGTGGAAGAAGAGTAAATACATACTCTTCAATTTATCCTATTTATGTTTAGCTACATACTAGTTTATTTCTTAGCCACGTTGAAAAGAATGTTGACATTCTAGCCCAAAACAACATGGTTTTCCTTCTCTTCCTGTCATGGAATGTTTAACAGAAGCATTTCTGAATTCACTGAAAAGTTCAGAAAATTATGACAGAAACATGGAGCATTACAGTTCATGGGCTGTTTTACAGTTTGTAGTAAAACCCAGAATCAGGTATTCACACTGAGCTGCTGCTTTGCAAAAGTTTTGTGTGACTGATGGTGAGGATGCACAGCTGCCACAGTTCATGAACAGCTCTTTCTCTTTGGTGGTTTGTATGCCCAGGTAATCCTTCCATTAAAATGTTATCTAGTACATTTTAGAATATGACCTGATTCCTGTTCTAGGTGCAATTTCAGATATTTCCTGGATTTCTTCCAGAGGAGGCCACTATATTTAGCTTCCTGAGCTTTTGTACCTTCATTATTTTTTTGATGCCATTTTATCCAAAGCACTGTTCTGCAGTATGTTTCATGAAATTCATCTATACTTCCATAACTGTGAGGCATTAAAACCTAAGTGGTTAAAGTGTAATTTACTTGAACAAGTAAATACATGTCAGAGGAGATAACCATTTTTCTGGGTTTGTAAATTCCCCTGTAATGCTCATTCTGGGACTCTGCAATTGTCTATATAACTGTGTTATTTTTATATTGATGCATTTTGGGGCATTTTGGGTGTCAAAGTATTCTAGTGCTGTCAGTGTCAAATTATGACAACTTCTAAAATAAAAACATAGTGTTTTGCTTTAAAAAGTGAATTTTTATTCCTGCTAATCCATTCAGTCTAGGTAAGAGGAAAAGATAAAGAGATTAGTTCTTTTGTTTACATTGTACTACAATGTGAATTTATGCTTCACTGTTACTATTTCAAAATACATTCACATAAAGAACTGTTCTGATGAATCCCCTTGCAAAGAATATTTTTACTGTTTATTAGTGTATCACCAGCTCTTCTGTTAGCTATGGTCACTGTGAAAAGGGAGGCAGAGGTGAAGACTAGAAAATGTATTTGCTCTTCACTGAAAAGGTCAACGAAGAGACCTCAGGAGATTGACTGATCCAAGGGGTCTGGAAATGTTTTGTTATCCTGCTTTGTGTAATTGAGACTGTGTGGGTATTTTTATTCAGGGGGCAGTACTAGCAGCTGTGTCAAGCCACAAATTCAACTCCTTCTATGGTGACCCTCCTGAAGAGCTGCCAGACTTCTCTGAAGATCCCACCTCCTCAGGTATTTTAACAGAAAGTGTATTTACTGCATTCAGCATGTCCATACTGACCAGAGTACCAAGTATTTACTCATTTCTTGAGATTCCGTAAAATTGAATATTAAGTTAACATTTACATGTGAAAAGATGAACAATTTTCAGTCACAATGGCATTCACAGCTGGCAAAAATGCACAGAAAGTGTCGGCACATTTTTAAGCTTCTACTGAAATTATGTCTGATTTTTTTTATTTTTTAGTGTATGTACATTTAATTACAAATAATGTTATAGTCTGACATTTCTATTTATATTACTTTAGTATAAAAACTTATTGAAATTTTGTCTTGAATTCTTAGGCAGGAGCAAAGCTCTAATTCCTTACTAATAGTTATTAATAAAAAGAAGCCAATATGTACCAAAGCTTTTTGACTCCTGTTTTAGAGAATGATATGATTGTGTCCTGTTTAAAGCACACTGGACAGTATTTCTGATCCCAGATCTTCAGAGAGAGACAATACATGTAGTCAGAGGGGAAGGTAATACTTGTGCTGTGATCTAGGCCTTGGACAGGACAGTGAGATTACCAAGCAATCCTTTTGTCCATATCCCATATTCAGAAATTTAAATCACCTGTCAGTCCCTAAACTAACACAGCCCTGCCTTAGTTATGTTTCTTAATTTTGACATAGCATTGCTCAAAATATTTGCAGTGCAGAAGTCTGGGTTGGTTTGTCTGATCTAAAATTAGGATTTAGGATCAATTTAAATGAATCTTTAAGAAAAACCTAAGACCAAAAGGACTGTCTTTAATTTTTCTTAATTTAGGAGTACTAACAGAATATTTTAGCTGTATACTGACTTCTTTGGAAGACATTTCAGGAACTTAATTGCGTGTGTTGATCTGCTGTGTGATAATTCTCTGTCCAAATATTTTTATAGGTGAAAAAATTATGTATTGACTGCATATATTAATTATTTCTTTCCTTCTATTTCTTTTAAGCCAGTAATTTTTATAAATTATTTCAATGTCATTAATATAGGAATGATATGCCCCATAAGAATTGGGCAACTTTTATTGGTTGAAATTCTCTAACTTTACTTCTTGGAATCCAGCTTAAAGTACTAAAATTAAAAGATTGCTTTGTCCTTAGACATGAACACCATTCATAATTCCCATAGAAATGAATGAGAATCTCAGATCTTTTATTGCAAATGGGTAATCAAAGCCTCATGGCTTAAGTTCAGGGACACAGCTTTTGGATACTTGTACTTGCAGTTAAGGATCCACCTATTCTTTTAAAGAAAGAATAAGTCAGTTTTACTTCACCTAGAACTACTTGCAGTGCCTTAATTTTTGTTTCCATCTACTTCCCCTATTTCAGTGGTGAATGGCCACCAACATGACTGGCAGTGGCAACTTTCCTAATCTGGAAACAGCAGTTCTGCTTTCCAGTTTCAGTCTCACATCAAGACATGTGTCTTCCTCAGAGTGATGTAATTGCAGATAGCACTATACAGGAAAGTTCCAAGTTCTATTTTTTTCGGCTCACAGAATACTTGAACCCAGTGCACATGTAAATTGTAAGAATATCTGTGTTGGATCCATTGTTAGCTTGTGTTCGTCTCTGAAATAACTGGAACAAAAGCTTGGAATTCTCAGGAAAGCAAAGTTATTCTCTAACCTGACATTGTTGATCAAACTGATGGGGGATCACAGTGATCAGGAAACCATCCTAAATGGGTAGTTTTCATCATGTTTCTCTGACCCACTACTTTAGCTGACCAAATATTTAATATTGAACACTAAGCCTTGCTAGAAAAGACTTTACAACTCTTTCAGCTTTCTCTTTCAGAGGTTATAACATTTCAGCTGGAATTCCTAGATACCGAAATCTATTTTGTTTCCTCTTCAGAAGTACACTAATAGTATTTTCAAATACTTCTGGCTTGGAGGATGGGTCTTGTGATGATTCTAAACCAAACTAGTTTGGAGAAATTAAAACTCAAGAATTGCAGTAGAAACTTGATTATCTTAAGGTTATTTAAGTTTCCTTCCTAGTACCTCATAATGTTATTCCAGATCATAAACTCTTAATGAAGACCATTTAATATTTTAGATGTGGTTGCCAATTATTCCTCCCATAAAATTTCATGAAGCCTGTCACTGTAATTAAATGGTTTTTCAGAAACAGACAAATACAGAATTCCTACAGAGATAAATGTACAGAAATACAGATGCTTATTAGGTTATGCAAATCACATTTCCTGTCTTCCAGGGCTTTCCAAACACAGAATCAGAAAAATTCAGTTCTCTCTTTTTGCCCAGTTAATCCAGAGGTGTTCTTTCTCAAAGTCAGTATGGAAACCTGGAGTTGCTGGAACCTTGGAGCATCTTCCTGTGCTACCAAAGGGTTATCCCAGGATAGGAAGGCACTGCAGGCAGCCAGTCAGATGAGTTCTGTAGATGCAGAATCACAAAGGATATTCTTATTAGAGAGTTTTCCAGTGAAAGTCAGAAAATTGCATAGCTAAATTAGATGGGAATGAACAGAGATAAATTTTGTTTGAGGTCAGTCAGTTTTTTTTTTCTGTACACATCTTCTTTTCCTTTTTACAGTGTTAACTCCTGGTTCCAACCACTTGCTGACCAGTGGGTGGTCTGTTTCCTCTTTTGTCAGCAACCATCCTCTGAAAAACTTGAATTAATCCTGCTACCATCCTGTTGGTAACATGGCAGAAATCAGTCTTGCTGAATTTTGAGTGTGACAAAACCTTTTAAAATACTTTTAAACTACAATGCTGCTTTATTGCTGACAGTCTGTGTTCAGTAACTTCTGCAGTAAAGCCACCAAGCAGCTCAGCTGACAAGTTTGCTGCAAATGGTCTTCTCTAGAATGTGAAACATTTGACTTTCAGGTTGCCTATCTTCAAGACATTCTAAATTGTGTATTCCCCAAGGCAACAAATGTTTTGGATATTTTTAATATGCTGAAACAAACATAAATCAGAAGTTAGCAATCAGCAGCCCTGAAGGCTAAATCTGTCACAGGAGGAAAACTGGTCCAGTAGGAAGTATTTGAAGTGGACCATGAAATCCATAAGGTGCCAGGGAAATTCACAGCATTTGCTCTCTGCTGCCCTTCCCCATCTGCCTCCCCCCCTTTCCCTGCCCAGTGCCTGACCCTCCTGATTGCACATTAGCTCTAGACAGGATTTCCTCTCCTTCTGTCATATGCTGGCCACTTGTCCCCCAGCTGAATGTACAGACATACAGTTAGCAAGTGTTTTCATAACAGTGCCTCAGGCTGGGAATGAACAGCACCAATGTAAAGCTTTTAATTTTTCCTCCTTTTGCTTCTTGGAGTTTGGCTTGAGAAGCTGAGTTGAGGACAACTGTTTCATATGGAGTGTTAAGTAGATTCAAAATGGTTGTGTTTTCAGGCCAGCAGTTAGAAAAACTGATAAATTGAAGAGGTTTTGTGTAAACTTTATGTTTCCATAAGCTTTTTGTAGCCACATTTTCAGAAGCCAGTCAGTGCTGGAGTTAAGCTAATGGATAGTCCATAGGATTTGGAGAACTGCATAACTGACTTTTAATTAAAGCAACCCTTACCTTTTGTTAAAGGCTGTTACTCTCTGATGTCTGCTGGAATTGCTTGGGCTGTGGCACACATTTCTGAACTGTGACTAAGAGGTTTCAGAGCAGCTTTTTGCCACAGACAGGTGTGGATTCCTGTAAAGGATCCTCAAGCTGTGCTTTGGGGTAACCTCAGAGTAAGAGAAGAGCCTGAGTGGCCAAATGTGCTCCTGCATCTGTGCTGAGCAGTGGCAGTGCCGCAGTATTTCCTGCATTCATGTCAGTGCTGGGCTCTGTGGTCACTCTGGAAGCAGATAAACAGAAGCAGAGTTTTGCACTGCACACGAAGCAACCACACTGAGGCTCCTTCTGTGCTTCTGCCTCATTTTCTCCACACACAGCATTTTTGCAAATGCTTTTTGGTATCTTGTCTCAGGGTTGATGTGTGCAAATCGAAATTTTCATCCTTTTCTATTTTGTCAGACTCTGTAATGTTGTGTCAAATGAGAAGTTTTTAACAGCATGATATCTTGATTTTCAAATTTGATAATAAAAATGGGAATAAAGCTAAATCTCTAGTCCTTCAGAGCAAGGTCAAACAGCACAGATACAGACAAGTTGTGAGCTCGCTGTTTCCAACATACATGGAAGTAGCTGAACTCACAAGTTAAAATGATTAGTTGTTTCATGGGATTTAGAATTCATGAAATATTGTCAATACCAGCCCATATCTTAATACCCATCAGTTTCATCACCAGAAGTAAGAAAAAAAACCACCTTTGTTATGCAAAAATTAACATTGATTTTGTAAATATTTGCAAAGGGTGTTGTGTAACATTTTAAAATATGAATGCTTGGGGAAAAAAAAAACTATATTCACCTTATAATTGTTACTAATTCCTTTGCTAGTATTACAAGCGCAGCTGTCAGTTTTGAAATCATGAGTTTGTGTGTTTCCAACATTCCATTATTAACTTGATGATTTTTCAGCTATTGATTCTTTGCTCTGATATGTTTAATTTTTTTAAAAAGGACATAAAGATACTGTTAATTAAAAGCAATAAAGAAGTGGTTGAATTTCTAAATGGTTCACATAACATTTTTCACTGAAACTTTTGACTTCAATATAACATCACTAAATTTTGCTTAAGTATATTAATATGTTTTGCATCATTTGCAGTATGTTTAATTATTTTATCATTTCAATTCTTACAATATTTTTACTGAAAAATCCCTTTTTGTCCATGAGTTTTTAAAAATAGTTTAAGCAATGTTGGGAAAAGTCTGGTATTAATAGAATTCTAACACTGCATCCATGTGCAGCCTTCCTAATGCCAAGTGTTTGTTTTCCTCCCATCCCACTCTGCCAGTGCCATTTGCTTTGCACATAGAAAATCCATATTAAAAACTGGGGGGATCCTTGTCACTTTGTTGAGACTATTTTGTGGCTAAATTAGTCTGCTAGGTTGCAGCTTTATAAATGGCTTGTTCTGAAATCTTCATACTGTTTGTTGTTTGTCCAAATGCTGCCTTCCTTCTAGGACTTCTAGCAGCAGAAAGTAGGTATCCCTTTGTTTTCCTTTAAGGCATATCAGTCAGCTATGGTGTGTGTCTTTGCATGTTTAAAAATCTGCTTTCTTTTGCTTCTCTCTGCTCTTTTCAGTTTTAATACTGCCTGTTCAAACAAAATTATTTGGTATTGACTAAATCTGTCTACAGTGTAATATATAATCAACAGTATAATAAAGCAGAAGGATGATTCCCAGGGAATTCTGAAGGTTCTAATTTAGAGGCAGTATTAAAATTACCTCAGTTTTGGGATTTTTTCCCAATATTTAATATTTGCAACACAACTGAACTAAAATTTATTTTTCATTGAATTGATAAGGTATATTTTGCATTTGCATTTTCATTCCAAAATTGTTTTCATGGACTAATGTTTGCTTTTTTTTCTTTCAACTACCAAACATATACTGTAATATTAGTCAAATATTCTATTCTTGCTCTCAGCTTGCATGAACTTTCTTGATCCTTCTGTGTTGATATGTGTTATCTGATCTATGCATATGCACTGTGGATATGCATACACCTGATTTCAATAACTATCCAAAATGTGTCTCCTCAATGAAGGAATCTTGTTGGCACACAGGGAAGAGGTTCTGCTGCAAAGCAGCTGCACACTTTGTGAGAAACTGGGACCACAAGCATTTCTAAAACCTGCAGGCTATACTAGGCGGAGGAGAAGCGGTGAAATTTTAGGCCCTTTGATACAAACCACAACCATTTCAAAAACAACTAATTCAGCAAAACTAATTCCCCAAAAACAAGCTATAGAAAGTGGGGGTTTCCTGCAGCAGTTTGAGACTTGTAGATTAACAGCTCTGCTTCTGTCCTAGGTCAGGACATGTCAGCAGGGCATGTGTCCCTGTCTCCATCTCTGATCAATCATGGATTTTGTGGTTGTTGTTGTTTGGTTCATTCTTTTGATTTTACAGATTGTGGGGGAAGTTGTTCATTTTCCTCCTATTTCCTCAACTCAGAGTGCCTGTCCAGTAACATGAGAGTGAAAGTTCAATGGATTTTTGTAAAAAAGTTTTGTGATAGTATTATTTTTAAGCAGTTGTAGGGGAAGAGAAAAAAAACCTCATACAGTGCTTGTGCCATGATTTTTGGGTTTTTGTTCATGCATAGAGACTTTTCTTCCACAAACTGACTATAAGGGTGTGCTGCCTTCATGCTGGACAGAAGGGGGGGTTTAGACATTTTTGCAAGGAGGAAGAAAGGATCTAAGGAAGGGGTAGTGAAGGGCATTCATCTATTAAAATATTCATTTGTTTAGTTGCATGTGAGTGCACTTAGATGTAAGCTACAGGTCTGGTTTGTAAAACAACACTTCTGCATGTTTCTTTGCCGCCACACTAGGCTGGCTTCTCTCATATCTGTGGCTGGATTTTCAGTGAGGGGTAGCTGGGAAAAAGAGTTGACAAACTATGTGAAGGTGCCAAGTATGGAGACAGGAGAAAGTGGAGTCTTGCCCACTGTCAGTGCCCCTGTGTGTGCAGGATGTAGAAAGTCTCTCTTCAAAATTAAGCATCAGTTTCTTGCTGCCCTCTTTGTCCTCTCCCCCACCACTTCCTCTTCCCCCCCATCCTTTGTTGTTTTCCATACATAGTACTCTCCTCTATGTTCTGTCTGCTGTTTGGAAACACTTAATCTCTTGTTTTCTTTTCCTTTTTCTTTTTTCTTTTGTTTAGTCCCTTTCTCCTTGTTTTTCTCTCCTGCACCTATTTCCTTTAGTTTCTTTTCTGACTTCACATGCCTTTCTCTCCTTTCTTGTATTCCTTAGGTGTTCCTACCTTTTTTAATGTAGTTGTAAATCCCAATACCCTTCCTTTGCACCAGCAGTCTTCTTTCTGAATTGTTGCTGTCATCTCCATAAACCTCCACCTTTCTAGTTCTCTTACTACACTCTTCCTGATTGTTTTATATACATGCAGTGTATGGATATACATATATTTCTTTTATCACTGCCTTATTTGCTTCCCAGTAGCATTCACAGAACTGTGTGCATGTAGGAGCTTATTTATAAATTTATAGTGTCTAAACTTCACTGTTTGATTTCAGTCCAAGGAGGAAGAAGTCATGAAATGCCATATAGCTCAAATTTGAGCAGGACAGAGCCTTTACTTGCCTTGCATGTTAATTACACTGCTGCATATATGTAAAACATGTATCTGCCACCTTATATAAACTCTTACAGTCATGTACATGTGTACACCTGCTTTGGCTGTCATCTGTCCCTGCAGAGTCAGTTGCTCTGGAATACAGTGAACAGCAAAGAGCAGCAAATTACTGTGTGAGATCAGAGGCATCTCAGCTCCAGTGATTCTTGCAGATGTTGTAGCAAGTGATGAAGAGCAGCTGGTGCTCAGCTGGCTTTCTCTAAATCTGAGAAGTTACATCAGTTAAAGTAGTAGAAGGGTCTGCACTTTATAATAATGCCCATGGCTTGTTTTTTTGTGAGGTTGTATCCTGTGACTTCGTTTTGTCATTCTAATATTTGATCTCTGTAAAATTTAACAATTTCTGATGATTTTTTTGTCTTTTCTTGCTGGATGTACTACCCTCAGACCTCTTCATAAACAAAGTAGAATGTAAATCCTACCTTCTGAAATGGCTGTGCTTTAAGAGCCAGGATTGGTCTTTTAACTTCATTTCCATCAGCTGCCCATGAGAAGGCAGCCACGAGATGAGGCTGAGAGAAATCAGCTTCTGTTTATTGTAGATTGGCTGGCTTAAGGACTGAACTGTGACATATAGAGAAATTGCAAATGACAGCAAAGCCTTTCTTAGTCATTTAAATACCACTGTGAAATCTTCAAGTCACAGTTACTTACCTGTTTACACAACATGAAGAACAGTTGAAAAACCAATCAAATAAAGACAGTTTATAAGAATGAACAGGATACAAAGGAGTGGCTGGTGTCATGAACTTCATTTTATGTGGTTCTACAAATCTAAGAGATTTAGACTTTGCCAATGTCTCTTTCGTAAAAACTTGCTAATAGTATAATGATTATTATAAGTTCTTCTGCAGAGTTATTTCCTGGCATAGTAATTGCAGGAGAATGGCAAAAAGGTGTTTATAGTTTTGTGTTTAAACAATGTCAGGCTTCTTGAGTTCTGGGTTTTCATTACTCAAGTGAATTTCTGATTTTTATGACACTTTACATGAGGGTTTGTAATCTTCAGTGTTGAAAAATCAATCAAGGAGTTCTTTTGCTCTCTGTCAGAAAGTGTTTGCACTCAGGGTGTAGTCTGTGCTTTGTACCAATAGCTGAGTCTCTTTACCTAAACCCTTTATTCAGTTGTACGGTGTTGCAGAACACATGTCACATGAAAAGAGGTTCCTGATTCTGTTTACTGCCTGTTACATAACAGGGGGAGCCAGTTATACCTTCCTGGTGTGCTGAGAAGCCTCAGAAAAGCAAACTTTTGGGATGCTTTGTACTACGGGGACACTTGGCTACTGCAGAATGTGCAGGCAATTCTTGGAATAGTATTTAAAATTCTCTTTTACTCTGTTCTGGGGAGAAGTAAGCAACTCCTCCCTACCTTTAAAGTTCAGTTTCTCTAGTCAAACCACCTGTTCCAGACCAGAATAGCTGGATGTTGTAGTAACAACAACATTTTACCAAGGCTTTGCCTACTTCCAGCCTGAAGAACCTGTGTCCATAGCAACTTCAGGTGCACTGTATGACAACTACAGACTCTAGAGACAGAATTCAGCTGTAACAGAAAACTATTTTTCACTGGCCATCTCCAAAAATGAGGTGGTAGAGCCTTGCACAAAATACCTGGGGAAACTTTGACTACGCAGTGTGAAGATAAATTCCCAAGTTTCTGCTTCACAAGGCAAATGTGTCTCTGATACATAACAGATCTGCCTCAGTAGACAGAAAACTGCTCAATTCATCTCTGTCTTCTCAGAAGTAATTGGGTATCATCCTTAAGAAGTCATTCCACTAACTGTAAAAGCATCTCATGTACTAGTGGTGACTGCAGGAGACTGTCATAAGCATTCTAATGTGGTTTTTCCTCTTTTTTTATATATGACAGCTCATAGTTTTCAACTTTTCACAGTTGGCAGTCCCCAGGAAACTCTGAGTAGCTGCAACCATTCTTTCTTAGGTTTTCTTATGGGAATACAGGGAAGACAAGTTTGTGTGCATGGCCCAGAGTGTCCCTGCTCCTTTGACCCTGTGGTCATTTCTGTGCATTTACAGGAGGATCCAGAGACTTCTCACAGAACCATGTTTGGTGTGGATTTTGTTACTGTTTCTGCAGAGAAGAGTCTTCTATTTATATCACTGGAAATGCAGCCTTTCCTGTGCAGTTGGATCTGGTTTTATAGTAACTTAAGGTTCAGGTGAGATTCATCTCACCCAAAAGTTGGGGCTGCTTGAAAATTCTGGGACAGTGAGCAGGATTTTATAACAAAGTTTAATTTCTGGAGTCTTAAAAAACAAATGAACACAGCCAGTCAAATTAGTCAACTTCCTGATTTTTCCTGTCTTACTGATATTTATGCATCATTCTAATTTTCATATTTCTAGATTCTGTCTGTAACTGCTACAGACCATGAGAAGTCTGAGATTTTAGTTTGTATGACTATAATAATTCACTTAAGTCCTTTATCATCTGTGATAAAGGTTAAAGTGGGTGCATTTGCAATGTTGAAAAGAGTTTAAATCCTATTTCAAGAGGATATAAGTTTTAATTATAAATATTGAGCAGCTTTACACTTTCCCCAAAGGTTAGAAATTCAGCTTGAATATTAATCTTTTTAGAAACATGTGTGCTGTAAATGTTGGTTAACTTCATTTTATGTAATATCTCTTCCCTGAATTTAAAACTCTTCTGAAAGGGACTTTTAGACATTTTAACAGATGTCTGTAACAAAGAGAGTTTAAGTGTTCACAAAAATTCCTGTAAAATTGTCCTCTCACTTTTTTTAAGCACTAACATGCTGTCAGTATATTGCTGCTATGCCATTTTCTCATACAGGTGCACATTATTTGTAAATGAGTGAGGGGCATGGCGGTAGGTGAAACATAAGATTATAGGTAAAAATAAAAACATAAGGTAAAAACTGTCATTTGTGAGATTAACAAAGCCACTGTCACAAAGTCCCATCAAATTTCTTAAGGACATTCTTGGAAACTTTATTTACAGCCTCCTATTCAATGTGACCAATGGACAGGAGAAAAAAAAAGATCTAATGATCAAACCCTATTTTTTTTTAAATTCCCAAATATTCAAGAGGTTGTTGAGATGCAAATATTGAAAAATCACAATTTTCATTTCTATTTCAAAGCCCTCAAAGTATTCCACAAAATAAATTTTGCAAAGGAAATAAAACTATCAAATAAGGAATGTGGTGGTCCAGAGCATTTGGTGTTTCACAATAACACAGCACTGCAGGCAACTTTGAACACACTTCTTACTGGTTCCAGATTTGGCTCAAGTTTTGGAGATTATGGGCAACACTGAACAGCATTAGAGACTCTTAATATCCCCAGGCTCTGAAGTGAATCTTCTCTTGAATTTTCCTTAAATTCCCCAAATACACAGAAAGGGCTTTGAACCCAGAAAAAGAAGCTTTGCTTGAAAATAAAATAAATAAAATAAAAATACCTCTGAGCATGAAAACAGCAGAAATAAAAGAGAATTTTAACAAATTTTCTTCTACCAACTGGCACCTGGAAAGTCAAGCACTTTTCTTCAGGCTTGGAGATCTCTAATTCCATCAGTCATTAACTGATGTGCTGAACATGGAAAGGAAACAGTGCAGTTCTTTTGGGGTCCCTGGGTGGGTTTTTTTCCTTGGCTTTGAGGCTTGGTTGGGATCTCTCCATCTTCTAACCAGCAGATCCCCAGTCCTTATATTTCCTCAGGTTTCCTGCTGTGTCTGTGGCAGAGGGATGTGAATGGTTCCTTTCAGATGAGCATTCTTGTTCATTATCAAAGAGGAAGCAAATTTTTCTCTTTTTTCAGTGCACCCAACCTCGTGCACAGCAACTACTAAAAGTCAAACCATTTGTTTTATTTGCTGACAGCCACAGATTTTTGAAAGAACATAAATTAGTCCATCAAATAGGTGTAAGTAGTCAGAAACACTTGATGGGAGAGAATTAAGTTTTATTGCTCCTGAGACATGAGCTGTGAGTGAGGGGGATATTCTCAAACCTTGTACAGAGAACTGTGAGGAGAATTTTAGGCTGAGGTTTGTACTAAATGTGATGCAAGAGTTTCTAGGTTTGTAATTTATTTCTCCTCAGCCATGAGGTTGCAAGTCTTGTATAGTAGTTTTTGTGTATTTTGTTATGTTTATTCAACTTTTTCAAGATTTTCAGAGAAATAAGTTAACTTTTCCTTGTGTGGTTAAGAGGCAGTTGGGTATATTGTTTTTATTACATTCTGAAAATGCAGTACAAAAGCCTTTGAGTTAAGGAGGGCTGATAAGAATTGTTCATGCAATAGAAGATAGAATTTCAAGGAATGCAGCAATTTTTTTAGATGTTATCTATCTTGGCAAAAAGACACAGGCAAATGTATAAATAAACAGAATAAGCATATTGATGAGAAATTCGTGAAATAGAGCATGTCTAGAGTTCAGTATCCAGAATTAAGAATTTGTTTGTGAAAAAGCATTCAGTTGTTCACTGCCAGACCACCACAGCATTGCTGCAGACTCTCACTGGATATGCTGCCTCTTACCAGATGCTTTTACCACAGTGGAAAAAGTGAGGACATGATCCATGGGTGTTGAGATAAGCCAAAGTTGGCATCCTAGTAAAGCACATAAATGGCAGCCACCACTGATACTCTGATTTTTAAACAAGTTGCTTCACACAGAACCACTGTGGGGTGGTTTACTGTGGGTTTGTGTTGTGTTTCTTTGTCCTCTCCTGCTGAGAGTTCAGCTTTCCCTCATGGACCTTCCATAATGCCTCCCATTTCTCCTTTTTGTCTCCATAGCTCTCACTTCTCTCTCACCCCCATGCCATATAAAAATCATCCCCATCATCCTATGACCCAAAACCATGCCCTGCTGAAAAAGCAGGGTAGGAGATAACCAGGCAAGCAGGACAAACAGAACAAAAACACATTACAGCCTTTTTTGTCCCCCAGGATTCAGCAGTCAGGTGTTTCTCCCTCTTCCTTCCTTTATCCCGATGCTGATTTTAAAAATATTTGTGAAAGCATTGGTTCTTCCTGATTTTACCAATGTTTGGGATTTGATTTCAAAATAATTCTTACTGATGTTTCAAAATTGTACAGCATGTATTTGAAGTTGTCTGGCAGTTCAAAAAGAGAAGTGAAGGATGGGGTGGGAATGGTGAGGACAGGCCAATAATGCAAGTGGCTCCATGAGATATTGTTGGGAGCGAGGCTAAAATAGAACAAAGCTGAGCTTAATAAACTCAGGTTTTGACCTCTCTCCCATTAAGCCATTTCTTATGTATAATTACATTATCTGTGAGCACTTTTGATATATGTAAAATTTATTCAGTGATTTTTCTTATTAAAACTCCAGCTTTTTTAAGATCCTATTCCAGTTGTACCAGATGAATGGAAAGTTTCCTTTTCCAGAGTTCAGTTTACCATGAGCCTTTGCTTTATTGATTTTTTTTTCTGCTTTTTTTCCCTGTCTGTTGCCCCATAGGAGCAGTCTCACAGGTGCTGGACAGCCTGGAAGAAATTCATGCACTTACAGACTGCAGTGAAAAAGACTTAGATTTTCTTCACAGTGTTTTCCAGGATCAGCATCTTCACACGTTACTAGATGTAAGTTTTCTGTGATAAAAATTTGAATGTGTTCCTGGATCTGTTGTCCATTGGATAACATTTTATTTTATCCTTAGCATATTCTCTTTTCTTGTTTGATATCAAAATCAATTTCTTTATTTGTAGAATGTAAGAATCCTCCAGCACTTTATGCAAAAATACATTTTTAGGACTGCAATATAGAGTATTGTAGGATGTGTAAGTGATTAAGAGTTGTAGTTAATAGGTTTGCTTTAAAATAATTAATCAGGATATTTTTTTTCCCTTAATAAGGGCTAGATTTTAGTTTTTATTTTAAATGTGAACTTTATAACTGAAATTTACAACTTTATAACTGTGCATGTTCTATTATTATTATTATTATCATTAAATGTACTAATCTCAGGCCAGGTCTGGGGATATTCTTACAAGTCTGAAATGTTTTGTGTGATGCACCAAGGTATGCTCATTTCTCTTTCACACTTGGATGTGGTATGTTATATGCTCAGTCATCTAAAATCTGTATTTCTCTGTGGTTCTGGAGAGCTGCTAGTCCATAAGGCAACAGTGTCTTACTAGAGTGCCAAAACACTCACTGAATGACAAATTCAAAAGCACACCATGCTGTCAGTGACTTTGTATGTGCACAGCACTGAGATCTAAAGTAAAAGTCAAAAAAAGTAGCAGAAAAAATACTTCCCCTGATGTTTTTTTCTGGGATATGTGGATACTTCATGTTGAAGACAGAGAACTTGCTTTTAGGGAAGACCAGCTTTTTCTAAAGCAATCTACAGCTTGCACTGAGAAAAAACTCCAGATGGAACCAAATGCACAGGGGCACCTTGGCAGGTGCTGTGACACAGCAGTGACACACCTGCAGGGCAAAGCAGCTGGCACTGGGGAGCCAGGGCTGCCACTTCTGTGTGTTCTGACTGCTTTTACTTTATGCCAGTTGTGCTGCAGTCCTGTGGGCTGAATAACCACTGGTAGGTGAACAGCATCTTTTATTTTAATGTTGTTTGAGAGTAAATATGCTCTGGTAACAGTGTACAGTGAAAAATAAAAAATGGTAGGTGGGCATAATGAAATTAATTTAAAATATGCACTCCTGGATCAAACCAAAATGTTTGTGTGATCACATGGATGATGAACTTTTCAGTGCAATGTCTAAAACTGAACAGCTCAGTCAATATCACAGATCTAACAAGATGTGTGTGTTTTTCACCCAGTGAAAGAGCCACAGGAGTAGGAGTCATTCCAGCTGTCTGATCTGCAGGTTCCTGATGATGTTTGTAGAGACTTGAGAGAGTTTCTGCAAAACTGTTGAGTGCTCTGGTTCCTCTGTGCAGCTTTGCAGGAGCACAAGCTGAATATAAAAAGTGCCACAGGTCCTGTGGTGTGCAGACTCTTTAGAATGTAGTGAATGATTTGTACACTCGTTACTGTTTGATCAGTCACTTGAATTCTGTGCATTCTTGAAGTTTAAGGGATTCCAGTCTGGAGGTGGCCCCAGCTGCTGGCAGAGCTCTCCCACAGCTCTGCTGCCCCTGGGACTGGAGCATCCAGAGATGGGGATGGCTGCTCAGTGATGGTGGCATTGCCCTGGCACCACACTGCAGTTCTCATCTTTGTTCTCTGATAACTGTTCATGCATTTTACATCAACAGGCATTGCATAAAATTATATGGGGCATACAGGAGGAAGGGACTAGGAGCTCATGACTTCCTGAATTGTATCTCCAACAACTCATCTTTGCAATTTGTATTAAAATATGAATCTTTTTTCCCAATTTAAGTTCACCTACCTTGTGTCCTAGATGCTTAAATTACTTTTTATATGGCATGCTGCAGTACAGAAAGGTGCTCAGTTAATATGAACAAGAAATAAAAAATCTGGAGAGGAGTAGAATAATATGAGTGTACTAAGAACCAAAATACTTGTGTCACTCATGCAGAAAGGTTTTAGATATTTATTAACCATTATTGTATTATCTTATAACTTCCTGGGCTTTGGTAAACCACATGGCCTTAGTTTCAGTATTTTTCAGGGTAATAGGTCTGCCAGACATTAACTCATGCTTCTGCAATGCTTTTGCTTTTTTCTGCTCTTGACAGTGCCAGTCAGGTTCCTGGTACTTCATTCATGACCTGGTAATACTGTAATGATATGTTGTAGCTTTTCAAATAAGAAAAACCAGCAGTGAAGTTGTAGAATTTTCACATTCTTCATCAGTTATTCTCATAAACAGAGAGGGATGCATGTAATTGCACCTTATAAAGATATCTGTGAGAACAAAATGGCATAAAAAGCATTTTTCTTTCATTATGCTATGTGGAAGGGCAATGATAGAATCCTCCCCAGGATACTTTGGTTAGAAAAATACAAACTAAAATTCTGAAACAATGCAGTGTCCTGAAATAAGTCTTCTAAAGCCTGAAGCAAGTGTCAGTATTATTTGGAAGGGTAGTTTTTTCCTGTCAGTAACTTGCATGTGGGAGATTGATTTCTGGTTTTGTATCAATACTATTCCAATTTCTTTCTCAGGAAAAATCACCAGTTGTACTTGGATGAAGTTCTGCCAGGGAAACTGTTAATTCCTCTTAGAGTATTTAGGGTTACTGAAGCCTCCAGACCAAGTAACCCATAAACCATTATATGCCACTAAGTAGGAATTTTCTATTCTGTTGTGAAGTTGTGGCTGTCACTTTGCATTAAATACTGTTCCTCTTCTGTGGCCATTTTCCACAGTTAAATTTGTTCTCGTGTTCCTACTCTTTCTCAAGAGTTATCCTTATTTTTAGATTAAGCACATGATGGTAGATCATGCCTGCTGCTGAAATGTCTTATTTTGCCTCTGAAATAACTTTTTCTGAAGGCCAAGAAGGAAAGAACAATCATTTTGTTAAGGCTGCAAGTTACCCATCTGTTGGGTTTTTTTTAGATTACAAAATAGAAATCTTCTTTCTCAGTAATTCATTAACTTGGGTGTTATGAGGACAGGCACCTCTGAAGGCCACAGAAGGCATCATCCTATTGATTGTTTTTAATTGATTAATTTGTTTAGATAACTGTCTTAAGGCTCTCTTCTAATTTACTTGGTGGCCAAAAGCGTTCAAAACAAGGGGAAGAAATGTGCAAACTGCTTAGAAAGTAGTTAATCACTCTCAGCAATACAGAAGCATATCCTGATGTGGGTTTATTGAATAGTTTCATTGTGTGGTTTTTTTCATCATGTTATAGAATCCTATTATTTGTGTTGAGTGGGTTTTTTCCTGCAGAGAAGTTTCACATTTCATTATTAAAAACTTGTGTTTACTGCAGAGAGTAAAGAAAAGACCCTTTTAGAAACAGCCATATAGAAATATTTACTGGCTAGAAAAAATTTATTGTTTAATGATTGATATTTTTTTTTTTTGTTTAAGTAAAAGAGTAACTTTGGTTTGGACAGATTTTTCTTTTCTCCTGCTCTGTTCATCTCTGATGATCAAAATTTTGCTGAATCCTGTAGGAGATTTCTCTGTGTCACTTAGAAATGTCTGGATTTATGACTATATAAAGCTTTATAGACTGTTTCATTCCAGCATCCAATTTAGATGATAAAGAATGCAGTACAGTATATAAATAACTTTATGGAAAAACAGAGTTAAATTTAAGTAGTGAAAGCAGTTTTTTATTACCATGGACAGATTTTTAGAAGCCTTATCAAATACTTGAATTCAATTCTTTTTTATTGACTTTCATGAAAGACATCCTGGGAGACACTGCTGTCCTGTGTTAGCAGGACTGATAAAGAAGCTGGAAAGAATTGTAAAGAGGTTACTAATTTTGGAGGTCTTTTACTTCAGTTATTATTTGTTAAAGTCTAGTGGGCTTCAAGGCTGTGCTTAGTGGGGTAGAGTTTTATCCATGATGTTTTATCCATGATGTTTCATCTCTGTCAGTGCATCAGAGGAATTCTGCTCAGATGGAAACGCAGGAGCTGCTGCTTGGTGCAGCTGCCTGCCCTGAAGGAGATGAGAGAAATCATTCTCCTGTGCTTTGGTCACCTCTGCAGGGCCCTGGCTGGGCTGACTCTGAATGCACATGTCCCTCAATTTACAAGTGAGATTTTCACCCAGCAGGAGAACAATATCAGCTTTTGTGTGACTGGGGCCTCTCTGCTGGCTTTGTCTGCATCTGTCTGTCCCAAGGCAGAGATAGTTCCCTAGGCTGATGTCTTTTGGCTGTGAATTTTGAAAGTTTGTTACATTAATTTCATAGATGGAATCATTGAGGTAAGTTTTGTTATTTCTGTGATAGAAATGTTACAAGCTTTCAAGAAAGTTTATTTTACTTTTTGTTGGCTTAATACATTACACACATATTTAACTAAAAGAGGATAAATACATTTTGCACTGGCCATTTGTATTATATATATGTGTGCAGCCACTTCTTTCTTTTTCCAGTTTAATTTATATTCACAGTGCATATTTAAGGCATGCTGATTTCTCAAGAGAATCTCACTTCTGTGTCTGTTATCCTTTGCTGCTCATGGTGTGTTTCACAGGAACCTGCATCTATGCACACTTCAGAGTTTCCTTAGGATTTCTTTTGAACTCTGTCATCCAGACAGATTTTGTCCTAAGTCCAGACTTTTAAGGAAACATATTTTCCCTTTTGCTAAAATGAATGTTGTTGGAACCTCAGTTTAGCTTCTTAGATGGTTGGCTAAAGCTTTCTGCTGGGTTTATTTTGGTTTGTTCTGCTTACCCTCCCAGGCTGGATGTTGGCACAGTAAATTTGAATGTCCTTTGTAAAAGTTGCAGTTATTCAGCAGTGTCCAGGCAGGGCTGATACTATGTCCTCTGCTTGACAGTATTTTAAACTCTCTATGTATTTATCCATGATCTGCTCATTTTGAGCAAAGTGAATTACTTTAACAATTTTAATATATACTTAATAATTTTTAAAAAAGGGTGGGGGGGACAAAAAACCTTTAGATTTTTTTCCTCAGGTTGCTTTCATTTCCTTTTTTATTTTAA